ATAATCCCAATTCAAAAGAAAATGAGAATTTAGCACTCAGTGTAGGAAAAAAAAACACCATATAAATAATTAAGAAAGCTCGGGTGCTCATGGGTTGACAACATATTCTAAAAATCCAAAAAGATTGGTCAAGCTCCGCATATATATGTTTGATCCTATTGTCTATACAAAAATATGAACTTAAAATTAACAAGAATGCAACTTCTTGTCCTTGCCACCTGGTGCTACTTATCAAACACCTTGAAGCCTATGCTCATACCTTTATTTTAATATTGACTCAAACCTAAATTCTAAGAAAAAATTACATATGAAAGTCAAAAAAAGAAATGACTTGCAATGAAAAGGTTAGCACAAAATAATTATATGAAATAGATTAAAAATCATGCCTGACATGGGGAGCTAAGCTGCACATACAGAAAATGTGTTGGTTTATATCATTGTAGCTCCTCCTTAATGTGATAGCTTCTAATGGGATTGTTTTACTATGTACAACATAGATCTTGAAAATTTTCTTTCTAAAGGATCAAATATGGAATTTGAAGAATAGTATACTATCTTGAATCTTGAAGGGTAGAAATATTTCGGGTAGAAATATTTCCCTAGAGTGGATCTAATCACTTGGATAATGAAAATCTTTGTGATTTATGGACTTATGGAACCAAGAATTTTTCCTTACCTTACTGATGTAAGATAAGGTTTAATTTAATTCGAGTTCTAGTAACTCGATGAGCGGGCTCTCTCATAGTTAATTTCATCTCAAGAAATACTCTTGAGAACACTCTTTATTAAGGTTGTGTCTTACACCTTTCTTAATGATCAATAAATATATGTGAGATGGTAGATGTTTGAAGACTTAGATATAATAATAGGTTTAGAAAAAGGTTGACCTCACTTGAGCTAAGAAACTTGAGTTTATTGAGTTAATTTAAATTTAAAAGTTTATTTTGAATTAAAGTTCAATTTAAGTTGGTTGTTAAATTTTAAAAGGGGTATTTTAAATTTTAAAACTTAATTTGATGAAAAAATTTATGTTTTGTTAAATTGAGCTCTTAATGTAATTAGATTAGGTTTAATGCCTTTAAAATTAGTTTGAGAATTATCAAAGTTCATTTTTAAAAGTTTAAAGATTTTTTTTTTTACTTATTGAAATTAATTATAATTTATTAAGTTGATTAAGTTCAATTTTAAAGGTGATTGATAAAGCTATTTAAGATATGTTGAATTTAAGATTGGTTTGAAGCTCTTAAATTTTATTAAAACTTAGTAAAATTCATTTAAATTCATAAATATTTATTAAATTTTTTTTAGATTTCTTAAGTTTGTTAAAAATGGTTAAAGTTTATTAAAGTTGAAGGTTAGTTCAATTTGATTTATTAAAATTTGTCTAAGTTCATTAAAATTTAGTAAAGTTTGATAGTATATTATGAAATTTTTTATTTAAAGTTGATTAATGTTAATAAAATTTTTATTTAACTTGGCTTGAGTTTTAAAATTTCCTCATCTTTAGAATTTGGGCTCAACAATTAAAAGTCAGATTGATAATATAGAGCTTAAATTTAAAATTTATCTTTAAGATAGAGATTTGGCAAAATTGGTTTGATTTAAAAAAATTTGGAGTAGACTTGGGTTTGATTTGAATTGATTTGGATATAGTTTGAAATTGATTCAAATTGGATTGAATTTGGTTTAATTTGATGTTGATTTGATTAAAATACAAACTGAGATAGGGCAGATCCTAGACTAAAAGATAGAAAAGATAAAGGATTTCTAAATTGAGGTAAATCCCTAACTAAAAATAACTCTAAACAGAATGTTATAGGTGAACTATCTAAAATTTTAGAAATAAAGCACTCAGTTAAGATGCTTATAACTTTCTTTCATTTAAGATGCTTTAATATCTTAAAATATTAAATAGTAAAATAGTAGGAGGTCTCTCTTGTCGTCATGACAATGACATAAGGTAGGCCAACCTATTATTTAATAGTTTTGGAGTATCTTCATCAATAACCATGAATTACTTCATTCTATGATAGTCCTATAGTTCAAGAAGGTAAACCATTTGTTTTATATGTTGTAATCCTTAATTTTATCTATGAGGTTCCTATTAAACTAACTTAAGCTTTTAGACTGGAGTAATCTAGGATGAGCATGAATCTAGGTTTTCATCTACATCCGCTAACCTAGGGTTCATAGTTTGGAGCTATCCAAGCATGTGGTTATAAAAAAATTAGAGTTGGTTTGTTTTAAGAAATTTTATGGGTTCACAACTTAAATTATGATTTATTTAGTTCCAAAGTTTATTAATCATGGTGACAAATTAAAATTCTTTTAATGTTTTCAGTTTTAGTTTTCCAAGTGTGTTAGTTTTAACAAATTCTTTTAATGAATATTATGATTTATTTGGTTTTCCAAATATTCATAATTCTTCTAAGATTTGAATTCAGTTTTCTATATTTAAGTGTTCTTTTTCTTCAATTCCTAAGATTTTAAGTATGTATAGTCTAAGACTGTGTATTCAAAATAATTAAACTTAAACCCTCTAATTTTATACTTTTCATATTTAAAGGTCACTCATATTCTCATCGAAAATATTTTATTTTCCATACAAAAATGTATTTTTTTTTTGAAAAATTAGTTTGTCATGTAAAAATAATGTGAGTAATATGAGTTAATTTACATATGAAACAGTGAGATTTAGAATGACCCAAGACTTATATACTCATAAGCCCAGACTGTGAAATCATATGTTTTTGGGGAGAAACAAAATTCATTTGGTAGACACTTAAGTTAAAGAGTATAAAAGTCTTGCATAGACTAAGCATGTTAAGAGGATTATTAGGGCTTCTTGATAGAGGAGAAGAGTGCTAAGATGCTAAAAGTGGAGATTAGGCGAAATTTTGAGTTTTTGTTTTCTTCCTTTCTTGGGTTGAAACCTTTGGGCTAAGTTCCACCCTATATTCTTGAGAGTTTTGAGAGAGAGAATTTGTATGAGGGGGAGAGGTGCTGCTCTTGTGTAGAGGACAAGTCGTGATTGTAAGTTTTACTTTTTGTGATACTTTGCAATGAAAATCTGCATTAATTTCTAGTCTGTGATTTTCTCGACGATGCTTCGCTAATCTTTTTTTGAGCCTCTGTGATATAGAGGCGGTGATTTTTATTGTGATTTTAAAGATGTTTTTCATATAGAAGTTTCATTTACTCCTAACTGTTGTGTAGTGGAAATGAAAGGTTTAACCACAAAATTCTTAAAGGACAGATATATTCCAGTAGAATTCTGTAATTTTTCTAGGGATCGAATCATTTCTACGGAATGCCTTGGATTTTGAGAAAGCCTTAAGTTCATGGATTATAGCCTTCTTTTGACCTAGACATATGCATAAGAAGAAATTTCATCCTCTGTTGACAATTATCATGTTAGAGAATGTTTTGAACACCATGATCCATCACGATCCCTGAATCACAAAGGCATAAGCCTCACCACTCTTGAAGAATTCCTTGATGTCTTTATTTTTTCAATTTCTACCATTTGTTCTCTGATTTATTTTATGAATATTTTAGAATTCAAACCTATTTTGAAATTACACCAAGCTAGATTCACAAGATTAGTAAACTAGAGATTTTTTTGCTTGAATAATTGTTAAACCTTTCATTATGGAATCAATATATGAACTTTTAGACTACATATTACTTGATACGTGCACTTGCGTTGTAGAACCAACTTACTTCATAGTAAGCTTTACCACATCAAGTTCTTATGTGATGGTTTGGGAAAGGCATTAATAATTATTTCAACCTTAGGAAAACTTTAGTTCATAGGCTTAGGATCAAGATTTAAAACATTTTGTTTTTCTATTTCCTATTTTCTTTTGTTGTTTCTATTTTGCATTTGTTTTGTTGTTGTATTATCTTATAGGTGCTAAAAAATTAAAAGCTAAAAAATTTTTTTAAAGCCAAAAAACTAAGAAAAAAAATAATAATAAAATAATTTGCTATTAAGTGTTGTCGCTTCATATTTTGTATTTATTTTGATTTATTTTTTATTTTCTTCATATTTTGTATACGTTTTGTTATTGTAATTATTTGTTGCATACTTTATTTAGTTATAAAGTACACACACACAAATATACTTTGTATGCTCATTGTATATATATAAACTTAACTGTCCCTCTCCCACGTCCTCCACGTATAGGGCCCTTAGTTAGTTGTTACTTGGACCGCAAAGCTTGCTTGATCCCGTCGCCACAGTAAAAAATGGCGCGCGGCAGCTTCGCGCCTACAGAAACCTATCACTCTTCCATCTCCATAGGTGCTTTGTATGCCCATTGCCTTGGAGTTTTTTGGTGCTCGTTTCTATCATTCCTTCGAAAGCCCCTCTAGCAACCTCAACTTCACTGTTCGGTTGCTACGGCGAGGTTTCTTCTTTCTCATAGCGCCAAGGAGAAGAAAGTGAACGAAGGTCGCGAAGGTGGTCGAGCCTCGGCTTGAAGATTTGGTTGTCGCAAAGGTCAAGGGATTCCCAGTGTGGCCTGCGTGGGTGCAATCTGTAATTTCTATTGCTGGTACTGTTTATTCATTTGCTCGTTTAGGTAGAGCTGAGTCTGTCTCTAAAGAATTTTCTGGCGTTTCTCAGAAGATGGAAGGAAATACTAGCAATGGAGGGAAACCTGGCGTGTCAGGAGGCAACAAGAAAAAATCTAATAAAAAGTGCATACCAAGGGAAGAGCTTGTAGTGGGGAAACTAGCAACTTCTGAGGGGAACCCAGTTTTGAAGCCTGCTGCAGACCGTAAAGGTGACTGCTTCCAGTCTGGAGCTATTAAACGTAAGATGAGTGGTAATGTAGTTTTACCCTCGGCTAAAAGATCACTATTTAAGAATGAGAGAGTTAATCTCTCCGAAAGCTCCGGTAAAAATGAATCATCGCATTTAACTGGAGGACAAAAGAACAACAAGAATTTAAACTTTGTATTGCAGCCCATCCACAACACCAGCATGTGATAACATGAACCAGTCAGGAGTAATAAAATTGTTCAATGGATCAGGTGATGTTTCAAAATCTTCATCCACTGGCACTGAAGGCTCAACGAAGAACCGGATTGTGACTAATGGAATGAATTTTAAAAATAATAATACCTCTTTAATTCCTTTGCTCCCAAAAAGGAGAGCTTTGAAGTTGCTGGAAGATGTTGATGGTGATAAACGTAGAACTCCAGTTCACCGTGTTACTACTGTCACTTTGAGAGAATGTTCAGGATCTGGAAGAAAATTTGATATGCAGCCGGAATCTTGTTGGAGCTTTCCTCAGAATGGTGATAAAAATTTTGTTGGAAATGTGAGCTCTAGAGTTAATAAATCTCCCAACAATGTCACAGGTAGCATGGAGTCGATGGAGGGTTCCTATTCAGCTTCTAGGCCTCGTAATGATGATGTGAATGTGCTGAAACGTTCTGCAGACTTGCTTGCTAGCTCAAATTCTGTTAGGAGAAAAAAGTGTAAATCCGCTTCTCCAAATGGTAGAGCAGCCAATAACGAACTGAAAAATTTAGTTAGCTCTGGCTATACTGACAATTTGGGGAGTCTCAAAGCTCTCAAGCAACATGGTAGAAAGAAATCCAGTGCTTTACCCAAATCCAACATTTCAGTACTTGTTCTATAGAGTTTATGGTGAATTGTAGCTTAATTCATCACTAATTTCTCGTAGTAAAACAGGGAAACATTATAACCTAGAGATAAATGCTATTTAGCCACAACATTTTGGAACCTTCTATAATATTCAAAAACATTATAATCACTTTGTTTAAATCCTTAAAATGATGATACGTTTAATTCTTATTTTTTTCTTAAATCAACAAATATTGCTCTAGAAACTTATGTTGCATATCAGCCCATGAAGATTAACAATACTTCACCATGCAGATTACAACTATTGCCTAAGATACGAGAAACAACTTGGAGGCACATTTACAAAACACCTAGATTTTGCACACCATTCTATATAATATTCAATCCCATGTGTGAAACATTTTGTTTTCTCCATGAAAAGCTTATTTTGTTAAGAACTTGAAGGCGAATGTTTTGTCCATGTGATTTTTGTTGTTTTTTCTTTTCAAAACAACGTGGAGATCTGGTATGTTACTATGAAATTATTAATGGCTTTGTTTGTCTGTAAAATTTGAATATAGTGCAGCAATATATTGAGTATGGTTACTTTCTTCCAGCAATACAACATTCTTGTTTCCTGGAATTCTTTCTACGCATGTTTTGGAAGATGATGAAGATTTTCCGAGCAGTCTATGCAATCATACCGCAGGACTTTCTCCACATAAATTAGGTATTTTTGAAGCCGTTCCTGGTTCTGAAGGTCGTCCAATGGAAGCACGTCACCATACATTGGAGCATGTAGAGAATGAGATAGAGATGGAAGATGAACTTACATTATCTTTTGAAGAGAGATCTATAGGAGAAGTTTCTACCTACAATTATACACTTCATAAGGAACATTGCTCAGCTCTTGAATCTATATTTGGTAATAATAATGGGCTCCTACTTTTACCGGCAGAATCTCCTCCACTTCTTCCTTTAGATCCTCCACCTTCTCCACCGCCATTACCTTCTTCACCGCCTCCCCCTACACCTCCACCTCCATCATCACCCCCACCTATGTCACCGCCAACAGTCTCATCACTGCATCAAGTTTCCTACTCCAGTTCGTCATTTCAACAATGCGGTGAAACTATCCAGCAGATGCCTCCTCATTCTTCCCTGCCAGCACTGAAGATCCTAAACCATTCCCTTACAAGCTCTCAAATCCCCTCAGGCCATCTATCTCATGGAAATTCCATGTTCCATCACGCCTCAACTTTCCTACTTGGTCAAGGAACATTTGGTGCAAAAGAGCAATGGATGTCACATCCTGGTGATGCTGATCAAGGTTATTCTGATGCTTGGAACCAAGGAGGGAGACCATCATCATCTTTAAGTGTACCTTTTGTACAGGATGGTATGTGTCGCCATGCATATTTTTACCATGCTGAAGTAGATGAACTATATGAGGTCTTCCTTAATGTTAGAAATTTCAACACTCTAGTAGTTTCCTGCTCTAGCTATTTATCAAAAGTGCTGTTAGAAGAAGAATATTCTGCCTCATATCGGGTGACTAAAGTGATATGATTGTTTCTGTTGCAGGACACTGCAGATTAACTACTACTGATTTTTATCATCCCCAACATTATTCAGCGCCATCTCGAGCTTCATTACCAGGTGGCTTTGATTGTAGAGCTTTGCCTTGTTATTATGCTATTTATTAGCTTGTCATACAATTTCTGACACTCATGTTCTATCTCTTCAGGTGATAGTTTTGCCAATTTTACCCCCACAGATTTTTGGAGGCCCACATAAATGTATTTATTCTTGATCAAGGGGTCTGGTATGTACTTTGTTTTCCTTTTTTTGGCTATTTAAGTACTCTTTTCATAGTACTTACAGTGGAAGTTTAACTTTATTCTATTGCCAGCTATAGGAACATCAAAAGATTTCGAACTGAACCACAAAGATCGCTTGCTCCTTTATACTTTTTCAAGTTTGTGGGAGGTTCAGAGCTTTGTATATTTACATTGTGGTTGATTTTTTTTTGATATTCAAAGGTGCGCTGATAGATGAAGAGAGTTGACATTTGATCTTTTTAGGAATTTGTAAATTGTAGTTTTTGCTGATCTTATACAAGAGCTGATTTCTCCGTACCAAATTTTAGGCAATGTAATTTAGAGAATGGAAGATTTGCTATAACATTATTGATATTTCTCTATCAATTGAAATTCTGACATCTACAGAGAATTTTTAACCTTATGGCAGTGGGTTTCTTTTAAGTGATCTAAAATTTTTAGTTTAGAAATGTAATAGTCCAACTTAGAAAAATATTTTAGTAAAGTAAATGATATAATTTAAGAATATCAATTTTCTATTTAATTCAGACATAATTGAATTTTTTTCAAACTTTGAATTTTAAAAAAAATATTAATTTTAGAATTTATTAATTCAATATTGAAAATAATTTTCACTAATACTTTCTGACGTTAAGCATATAATCGATCTTAAGTTTCATCAAGCTTCTCTTTCCTTTTGATACTTTACTTTTTCTTTCTTTTTCTCTCTTTTCTTTTTTTTTTCTTTCAAGATTTTTTTAATCTCTACTATTTTAGGTGAGGATTATCGTATCTGGACAAACCTTTAATGATTTTGAATTTCACTATGTCTTTTCTAAAGTTAAAAACATATTTTCTATCCTTAACTTAAGATCTCGTATTAGTTTTTGAAAAAGAATTTTCATAGAATCTAAATTCTTTAAAAAGTTTTATTTTCAAAATTCTTAATTTTTTGAAAATACAATTATTTCTACTATAAATAGTAAAATCATTTCTCTAATTTTTCTACTAAATATCTTAACTTTAGTTTCATCATTTTTACTAACTTTTCTACTATGTTGTTCTTTATCATGCGTAAAAATTAAAAGTTTTAAAATCTTAAAGATAATGCCACATACCATAGGTTATTTTAAAATAAGGTCACTGAGGACAAATAAAGCTAAATTTTCAAAAAAATTTCTCCCTTTCCCAAACTTAAATTTTTAACAGGATAAAGCATTCAGTCCAGAAATGTGGGTAAGAAGAAAATAAGAAATACAAATTATAAAGCTGACCTTCTATACATGGTTTTAACATGAAAATGTACAGGTACAAATTGAAAGGCAGGTGTACAACTGTAAGTAATGTTCATTAAACATGGTATATCAAAAAGATTTGTTAAGTAAAGGACTACTCTAAACGTAATCACAAATTTAAAAAAAGACAGTAGTTTAGTAAAAACGAATAGTAAACAATCCATCAACACAAATAACAAATCATAACAAATCCACAGAATACAACTACTACCACAAACACATAAGTAAACTACATCCAACAAAAAATGAATCATTCTCATCATCATCATCATCATCATCATCATCATCCTCATCGTCATCATCCTCATCCATATGGGTCCGAGGTTCATAATTCAGAAATGGAGGACTAGATGAAAACTTAACATCCTAATTTCCTCGAAGAAAACTCACCAGAGAGGTGTTGAAATTTGTTTCATAATCATGTTTGAGCTTCAAATATCTCTGAACATGATCAATCTTTTGCTCAATATCAGTCACTTTACTTTATAGATATGCAATATCATGCACGAGTGTCTGATAATCATTATAAAGTTCAACCAGAGTGGCTGAAGGGTGAGCATAAGTACTTGAGGTGGATGGACATGAAGTAGAGGTAGAAGGAATATCTGAACTTCCACCCCTTAATGTCCATCCAGCATGTAGCTTGTATACATGCACATTTGTCCTCCTAATGGGTTTCAGAGGCTGTAAGCTCTTCCCATCTCTCATGTCCTACTCTTAATTGCTTGCATAAAGTAAAAATTAGGGCAGGGTATCCTAAACCAATACAACCAGCTTCAGCTAAACCTTACAATTGATCAAAAAACCAGTCTTAATCAACAGACACCACAAAATTATTATTTTCTCCTCAATTCATCAAAGGGTTTAAAACTTCATTTTGAATATTGCATGATATTTATTATCATATATAAATATCACGCAAATAATTTTGACAATCACATCATACAATTTTAATATAAAATTCTTCACTTCAAGTTTTTGTACATGAATTATGCTCCGTGCACCATGAAATTATCGTTTTCTCCATAGAACAACCTCGTGATCATAATTACATTATTTAAGCTGAATAATATTCATAATAACATATGAGGAGCATACAAAAGCATACAAACCAGTTTGGTGGTTATCATGTACTATTTTTAAGTAAAAGTTTGCATTTTAAGTTTTCATGAATGAAAAATGGTCCCGCATAAAAAATTTTGCATAAATCATTACTAAATAAAATTAATTTTTTAATTGCATACGGATTGTTAAAAACTTTCAAATAAACTCCTTTGCGTTCAAATACGACTCTGTTTGGGGACCATTAAGTTGGTGATAATTTGAACGATAATTTTGATAATAAAACGACTAATCATCATAAATAATTTAAAATGAACTCAAATTAAAATCAAACTAAATATAAGCTAAAATACTTATTTAATCTACTAAAATCCACCAGAATATCTAAATCAAATTGTACCAAAAGTTTTCTTTTATATGGTGGGTCCCACACTTTAATTTGAAAAATCTTAAAATATGATCTATTTTGAACCAAATCAATTTCACCATCATATTTCTTATATTATTTCTACCAAATAAGCTAAAGTAAAAGTGTTGCCCATGGCCACGATAACCACACCTAATCTTCTGTCCACTTAAAACCGAAATATCTTAAGTAGACAATCATTTTCAAAACCAATTAGACTATTAGACTCTTTGTAATTTTCTCTTTTAAATGAGATATACTTATCTTTTATGCCATAACCATCATGACCACCCCAAGTTAAAATTCTCCCCTCTCAAAACTTTAAATTTCCCCTCTTAACAGTTCCCTCCCTTTATTCCCTTTGCTCAACTCCATCTCATCCCAACAAACCTCTACTCACTCCTCATTTTCTTGTGACCCCTCTTCTCTCCTCTCCAAGAAACCAAGAACCACTCCTCCTCTCCTCTCCTCTCCTCTCGTCTCTTCTTCTTTTCTAATTGAGAGCAATCACTAAGGAAAACAAGGATTACCTTGTCATCCAAGCAAAGAAACCAAGATATCTCCAAGGAAAGTGTTTACTACTCTTTCCATTCCTATTTCAAAGTTTTGTGTGAAATTGTATTGTGCCTTCATTTTCTCTTAATTTTTTTTTCTCTCCTAATTTTTTCGATGAATTCTCTCTTATTCCCTCCACCTCTCAGTCATAACCGAAATCCAATCAACTAGCCTACCTGAATCCCTAAACCCACAACATTTACCCACTCTACTAGCTTACATAAAAGCTTAAAGCCACCACTTTCACCCCACTCCACTAGCATACCCGAAACCCACTACATTCAACCCACTCGACTACACTACCTAAACCAACCACATATACCCCACTCCACTAGTTTACTCGAAATCCAAAACCCACAAAATTCACCCCACTCCATTAGCATACTTGAAACTCTAAATCCACCACATTCATCCCACTCCACTAGCCTACCTAAAACCTACCAACATATCCTCATCAACCTCTCATTTTTACTCTAACTTGAGCCTAACCACATCCATGAAACCCTCTCCTTTCTATTTATACCAAAGCCCAACAACCATACATCTTTGCCCTCCCATTTTTACTATAACCTGAGCCCAAAAAAATACTCGTTTCCCTCTCATTCTGTAGCATACCAGAGCCATCACCTCCTAAAAAAAAAGAGAAAGAAAGAAATGAAATTTACATGTGGTGGTTTATGTGTTATGCATATAGTTTAGGTTTATGTGCCATTTAAATTCTTGTGATCTTATGTTTATGAAGTTTAGCCATGTGGTAATCTTATGTAATCCACACAATAAAAAATTTATGTGGTATTCTTTTCAATGTGGGAATTTTATATGCTCCATGAAAAGTAGGAGAAGTCACATGCTTAATTTTACTTTATGAGAAAACCAGGTGGTTATGTGGTAGCCTTATATCCCATGCTAAACTTCATATGCTTAGCTTTATATTTCATGCTAGATCCATGTGCTTAGCTTTATGTTTCATGTTAAGATAAAAATCTATGTTTTAAGTCTATGCTCTATGTTAAGACAAAAATTCATGTTCAACACTCTATGTTCCATGTGAAGGAAAAAAAAAAATCATATTCAAAACTCTATGTTACATGTTAAGACAAATATTCATGTTCAAAATATTATACTTCATGTTAAGACAAAAAATAATATTCGAAACTCTCTATTTCATGTTAGAACATTCATTCATGTGCTAAGTTTTTATTTCATGTTAGAAAACTAAAATGCTACGTAGGGTTATGTTTCCTGTTATAGAACACCACAAGATTAATTTCTTGTTCTCTTTCAAAAAGCAAAAAAAAAAAAAAAGAAAAAAAAAGAAAGGTAAGTTGTGATCTTATGTCTTTTCTATGTATGTTGGCAAGTTGTGATCATATATATTTCTTGAAAATGCCTTTGCAAGTTGTGGCTTTATAGATACAAATGAGTGTGTTTATGATAATTAAGAATACATCACCAACACTTACATATTTAGAAATATATACTTCCATAGATTATGTATGGAGGGAGAGATTTGCAAAGCTCATGTAATAATAACCCATTTAAAGCAATCATTTTTATAAAAATTTACAAACCAAATGTGCTCTAAAGTAATTATTTTTATATAAATGTACAATTAAATGTGTTCAAAGATAATGATTTTTTATAAAAATGTACCAACTAAATTTGCTCTAAATGTATCATTTATGCAAATTATTACATAATTTGACTGAGCTCCAGAAGAGGAAGTAATTTTATAAGGCGAGGACAATTTTTGTATACTTTCTATCCATTCTCATACTGTTATTTAAACTTATTTATTAAAAAAACTTCAAAAATTTTCAAATATGATAAATAAAATTCTCAATAAACAAACAAATTTTGTAGAATAAAAACAAAACAATCTTATTTTAAGAAAAAAATTATGAAAATCAAACATAATAATTTTTTTCAAAGAAAATTTCTTGAAAACCCATATAGAAATTTCAAAAAATAAAAATAAAATAAAATAAAATAAAATTAGACAAAATTATATTTTCAAAAATAAACT